TTATAATTATAGAAAAGAAGAAAGCAATGTTCAAAAGTATTATGGACAGTTTAGCATTAAAAAAAAAGAGAACCAAAAAAATTTTTTTTTAAATGCCGAAATTAAGTTCAAGTTCATCAGGAAGAAATTAACTTCTTTGTTACGTTCTTGGCCAAGACACAGGACGATACGGATGCACAAACAAAAAAAAAATAAATGAAAAACATTCAGGAGACAATAATCAGGAAAGGGTTTTCAATGAAGAGGTACATCTGTTAACCTTTTTAGCTGCAAACCATTTCGAATATCAATTATTTCGCCAATATCGTTCTATAAATATTTCTCTTCTCTCTCCGACGTTCCTCCTCCAACAATCATTTTCAGTTCAAATGAAAACTTATTAGAAGAGTTGTTTCCCCTTGACCAGCGCTTTCTTGACGAACACTTGCTCTTTGACAAGAATAGACAACTTAATTGAGGGCTCATTTTTTATTATTGAGTTTGTTTAGTACTTTAGTTGCGCTCATTATTACAATGAAAGTAAAAAAAAATATTTTTGAACACGCGATCAGTCTTATTTGAAAAATACATAAGAAAAGGAAAATAAACAGTCAATGTACACTTGAGGTTTAAATCATCGTTGTTTTTTTCGGTTTTAAATGACAAACATTGAAAATATTGAGTTGACTGACCAAAAAGGCAATTTTCATTGAAAATACTCAGCTTGTAAAACATACAGTACGATTCTTTTTCAACAAAATGAGTCTTTAACTTTAATTTTTTTATTAAAAATAAACGGCTGGTAGAGAATTAAAAATAATTTTAATTTATATAGTATTTAAATAATGAAGTTATATGAAACTAAAAAATATCTATGGGGGCGGGGGTCAGGAATGCATCAAATGTGCAGGATTCATAAGTCTTTTTTTTTTTTTTTTTTACAAATTAATCCTTTCCTTAGATAATTTCCGCCAGTTAACAAGTGCAGAATGTCACCTCCGGGGGTCACTAACTGGAAAACTAATTTATGGTTTTACATATTTTTATTGTACAACTTCATATTGTGAAATTTCCCAGAAATCATTGATTCTTTTTGAGTCTTGACTATTTGACACACTAAAAGCCAAAAATAATTAAAAAAAAAATAAATATATTAATTATATACGGCTACAAATTTTATCTAAAGAAAAAGAAAAGGTATGTCTCTCAAACTGTTTTTTTTTTTTTTTATAAATAATATGGAAAGGTTCTATCAATTTTTTTTGTGTTAAATTTGCCAAAATTTATATTAACTTTCAATTTATTTACCCCCCCCCATTACTTTTAAATGTTGCTTTAATTATTTGTTTTCCAAGAATTGTAGTTACGCGACTGGTTTTTAATTCGAAAGTACTTTGAACGGGGATCTGAAGTTTGAAATATTTAAAAAAAAAAAAAAAAATTGATAGAACTTGTCCATACTTAACAAAAAATATGTCTGAGAGAATTCTTGCTGCCGAAATACACCTTTAATTCAGTTTTCTACAATAAGATGAATTATTAGAAATAACGGTTTAACATTAGTGCAGAAAGAAGAATATATATTTTTATTTATATACATTTAAACATCTTGGTTAAAATAAAATAAACTACACTTATTTCATTCACAATTAAAATTACCAGAGAACATTAAGAAACAGAAAAAGCAAATGAATTTTTTTGCTTAACATAAAAAAAAAAACCCTAATTTTGAGAAAATTAGTTTTAATCAAAATTTCATTGTTTTTTTTTTGTTTTTTTTTTGCTTTTTTCTTGAGTCCTGTTTTCGTCGCGGGGGGGGAGTGGTTTCTCTGAGCCTCAATAATTAAAAATTCAAGAGAATTAAATTTGAAAAAAATTCCTGCCAATATAAATCATGTCAGTCTGTTTTGTTTCGTCCCAAGACATTAGCGGCCACTAATTTTTTTTTTCTTTCTTATTTTTGTTTTTAAAAGGTTAAAAAAAGAAAGTACTTATCAGATGCGTAACTTAATTGACCCCATGATCTACTTACTTCCTTTTTAAGTTAAAAAGTTAAAAATTTTAACTTATCGAATAACAAAAAAAATCAGTAATTATTAATTAATTTCTATTTTAGAGATTATCTGACTTAATTGTGGCAACAAAGATATTAATTTATTTTACTTTGATGTACGCTGTAAAAAAAAACAAAAAAAAAACACTATCTCATTTTTTTCAAAGTGAAAAAAGTGGGGGTTCAGAAAACAAAGGTTACTTTTCTTTTTTTTTATTCGATTGATATTGATAAGTATCTATAGAATTTTTAATTAAAGTAAAGCAGATGCCATCTATTTCTTTAAAATTTAAATGTACACTTTCAAAGAGACTTATTAAAAAAAAAAAAAAAAAAGACTACATCACTATGAAAAACTAAAAAGCAATAAGTTATCTTTTTGGTTAGTTTCAAAGTGTTTTTTCTCTTATTTAAAAATAATTAGTCAATATTATTTTTTCCTTCTTGATTAGAAAAATGAACAAATTAGATATGGAGAAAAATCCTCCTCATGTGCTTGATTTGAAGTCATTTTTATTCAAATATGTTACTTGTGGTGGGAACAATTTTTTTTTAGTAAAGTAATTTCACCTTGTGTGTGTTTTACAAATTCGTATAAAAAAAAGTCATGTTTTTTTTAATGAAAAATACTTTAAAAAACATCTGTCAGATACAAAAGAACGTAGTTAACTTAAAAAAATTTCTGACGGGGAATTTATTTGAAAAATGAAAAAATAAAAAATAAAAACGTTGATGAAATGAAAAAAAAACATTAAAAAAAAAAGATAATGAAATTTTTAAAAAATTTTTTATTTTATTTAAATTTAAAATTTAATTTTGTTTTTCAGTAAAGTCAAAATAAAAAATTAAATTTTAAAAGTAAAAAAACTTAAGGGCTAATTTCCTTTTAAACTAGAATTTGATTTTAAATTTCCTTTTAACAAGTACAAAATTATTTGCATTGTATTGTAGTGTGTAGTGTTTTTTTACTTTTCTTGTTTAGTGATAATTAATAAATTAAAACTGTGTGTGTAGTTATTGAACTTTATTTTGTTTTGTTTCCTCTCTTCTGCAGGTTAATTAAAAAAAAATAATTACAACAGAAAACTGCTTTAGAAAAGGTCACGAAATTGAAGTGATATGGAAATTTCTAATGAGGAAATTATTATTGATTGATTGACTTTCTTTTTCTTGTGGAGGGGACCGGACATCCAGTGAGGATCAAACTCACTAAAGTCTTAAGTTGTTATTGTTAACCATCACGGCACGACGAGGGCCCAATGAGCAGATTTTAGTTATTTTATGATTTTCTTTTTTCGATTATTTATTTACCCTTTTGGAAGCAATTTTTGTTAAATTTAAAATTGAACAGTGTTTTTCTGTATCAACTTGTGGAGGCTTTTTTTTTTAGTTTTTTATTTATAAAAAATAAAAATTGATATATTCCACTGAATTTGTTTAAGAAATTGACTCGAAGTGTTAAATGAAAGGGAAATTATTTAAAAATACGAGCTTAGTCTAGCATTTAAACGACATATGTGGAAATACCAGACACCCAATGTTTGCAAGGTATGGGACCCTAATCGAACAAAAAGTCAGCCTTACTAATCAGTTTCCATGTTAATAAAACAAATCAGAATTAATTAGAAAGATTAGTTTTTTTGATTATCTTGGGAAAATCTTGTTTGATGGAATAAAGATTTTTTTTAATGAGGTATAAATCACTTGTTTATCAAAAATCAAACTTAATTTTTAATTTGCATGATACGTGATGAAGTGATTTTCGACACCATTTCCTTTTTTTTAAATTTTATTTTGTCCTTGAATTCCACCAGTCAGTTGGTAGAATTTCTTCAAGTCTTAAAGTTTAAGACATTTTTTTCTTCTTGAAGGCGTAGGTATGAAGACTCTGGCCATAGATTAAAAAACGAAACCTAATTGATTTTGATTTTTGAAAGAAAATATTTAGTTTCAAATTATTAATAATTTCTGAAAGGACCATTTTTTTTTTTTTCGAACACTCCTCCTTTATCTATTTTTATTTTTTATCAATTTAATTAATTTTATAAAAATACAAACAAATCTCTCAAAAGTCAAAATTAATCTCAAATTATCAACAAAAAAAGAAATTAATTTTTAGGCGATTAAGTTTTAGCGACATATCCTTTTTAGTTTTAAAAAAAGTTATTGTTTTTGACGGAAAGAGTCCTTTTTATTCACTCAAACAAACAAATTGGTAAATTTTTACTACACCCTAAACCATGCCAAAGGTCAGATTTTTGTCCAAAACAGACAAGTAGACTGTAAAATAAAAATAATAATAATTTCAACAAATAATTGAAAATACCCAGTTAATTTAATTGATACCCTAAGTGGGATCATTTTCCGGTTTGTAAGACAATTATTAAAATTACCTCGTAATTAAAAAAAAAAAAAAGTTATAAAATAATAAATACTTTTTTAAAACTAACTAGAGAGTGTCTAATTTTATTATTTTCATTTTGGGAACTTTTTAATTGATTTCCTGAGAATTTTTAAGAAATTTGTTATAAAAAAAAAAACGAAATGGGAATAAAACTCTAAAGATTAAGTTTCCAACACAGAAAATAATAATCTTCATTTAAGATCTTCTTTATATAATTATTGAATCTATAATTATTTGGAGAAAGAAAGAATTTTTTTATGATTATTTGGAGAAACAAAAAAATGTTTTTCAAACTGAATTTTTTAAAAATACTTAAATTTAATTAATACTTTTTAGAAGTTAGCGTAAAGTGTGAGGAAAGACAGAAGGGAAAAATGAAGAAGACGATTTCTTGGCCAATCTAAACCAAAATAAAGATAAACAAAATCTTCAGTTTTCATCACATTCTTTAAATTTAAGAATTTTTCAATTTTTTAACTGAACAATAAACATATTTTTAACATTTATTTTAAACGATTATAATAAAAATGTTACGAACCATTTTTTAAGGTGACATTTACTTACTTTTTTAGTATGATTTCCTATAAACTGAAATCTTCAAGTTGTTTCTTTAGCATCTTAAAAGGATACATTTCTCTCATTTGATAATAATTTCATTATTTTGATATTATATTAAAAACAAATCTATTCAAAGATGAAGAGAAAATAAGTCCTTGTCAGATAAAATAAGTTTTTTATTCATCCGACTGACGTTCACATGGAACGTTGTGTCGCTTAATACCACACACAAACAAATTCAACTTCTCAAAGACAAACACTTCTAAACGATACAATATTTTAATTAAAATATATGGACTTTGGATATACAGGAAAAAATTATGAGGAACTTTAATTCTTTTTTCATTTTATTTTTTAATTATTTTAAAATAATTAACGTTATAAGAGACGGGCTACTTTTAAACGGTGTTAACCTGAAATAAATCCTTTATTCAAAAAAAGGTCCATTAAAGTTACCATGACTGGCTAGCAGAGTGTATAATAAATTATATTGAAATTATAAGCCTTAAGTTACAAAGACTTGCTATTATGATTGAGGTAGCTGCGGGTTCCTCACCAATCATTAGTGAAATGTGGCAAAGTAAAACTGAGGATTGCAGATGCTGATTTTCAAGGAAAGCATGTCCTTCCCATTTGGCAGATTTGCAAACAAAAACTACTATTCTTATTTCTCTCTCTTTGGCCTTCTACTGCACTAACTTATGCTTAATAAATATTTATGAATTAAAAGGAAATGATTCAGGTATTTTGAAAGTGCAAAAATAAGGTAATTATTTAAATTGAAAAGAAACAAAGTTTTCAAAAGTTGTAAACCAATTTCATGAAAACAAAAACATTAAAAAATGTTTTGAATGACTTTTCACAAAATAAAATAAACTATTTAAACTAAAAAAAATATGGAAATATCTATGATGGGACATTTTTATGTCCTTTTTGTAAGTATAAATTTGCAAATAATTAATCATAAGGTTTTGACTTTCAATATTAATCTTTTCTAACCAATAAAAAAATGAATGATTAACCAATCAGAAAACAGCAAATTTTTGTGAGTGGAGGGGGGTAATTTTTGCAAACTGATAGGCTACAGATGTGGTCTAAGATGCCATGATACTATTATCTCCATAATAACAAAGATGAGATTCTGAATATATTTTATGCATGAATCTTCTTACAGCTTGTTTCTAATTGCAAAATGTGTTCACAGTTCAATATGCTATAACAATATCAAGTTCAGTATCAAATTTAAACTAGCAGTTAAATTCATACAAGGCTAGTGCACAATTACTGCTACTTTGTACACATACATTACTTCTCACTTACACACTAATGTAGCAAATTGGAGTGACCATTTCCTGCACCTGTAAAAACAGTAAGAAAATACTTAACCATTGATAATGCAATGCCACATACAGATATGACTTAGATACTTACAAGTACATGATGACAGACTTTTTTATTCCTTTAAAAAATCAGTTAACAAATTTTCAGTTTAAAGCAAATTCTTTGGTTTATGTTGTTACAAATGACTTACCTTCTATTCTTACACTTACATGTTACCAATATTAAAAATATCGAAGGTGTGAACACATGCCTTCTATAATGGCAAAATACACACATTTATTTTTATATGTTATATAACCGCTGCAGATGAGATGGGTGAACAACTGTATATGATTTAATGAAACAATATGCACTTTAGTAAATTGATAACTTTAGTATATCACCAAATTTTGTCTTTCTTAAGTTAATTGTTTTTTATTTTGTTTACTTCATTTCAAATTATGAAATATAAGGTGCTGTAAATTTATTGGCTCAACCCACTTTCTAAAATTAGTATTTCGATGAGAAAACACCAGCATTATTTTTAAAGCCCCAAAACCTGACAATGAACCTAATGTATTGAACTTTGAGTTGAATATATAGAAAATTAAAATTTTGTGGCTCTAGTTCATCCTTCATGGTTGGGCCAAGAATATATATTTTGATTGATTGGTTGATTTTCTGTGGTTTATCAACCCTTTATATAACACACAAAAGATTAATGGTCAGAGTTGAATCAGACCAGGAAAACAGTAATGGGCATACATATGCACATATACTTGCATGTACATATATATTTCTTTCTCAGGTGTTATAAAAACAATGCTAAGTGTTATATAACAGAGCCATATATTAGTGAATATATATAATGTCCAATGTCAATATTGATGTTGGATATTATGTATATATATATATTCAAATGCTTGGTTAAAAAATATTGATAAATTCTATCATATTTTTATTACATTTTTCAAATTTCTGAATTAGTTGTTTTATTTTATCAGTGAATATATTATTTTCTTCTGAGTACTTTCAAATGTTTCAAGGATTTTCTGTGTATAGTTACACAACTGGTTTTTAATCCCAGTCTTCTCATGTTTGATGGAACCAATTTCAAGCTACTCAAGGTGATGTCATATAAATAGTCAAACTAGAATTTTTATGTGTATTTTTTCTTTTTAAACACTTCAATATCCAGTCCTATATGGAGAAAGATACCTTATTTAATGTTGGCTGCTTCTCTTTTATTAGAATTCCTTCAGAATTTTGCACTGTGTCCTGTATAAAATGTTGGTGTTATCTACTAAAATTTGTCTAATGTTAATATTATTTTGCTTATTTGTTATATATTGTTATGTATGTGTGCACATTGCACTAAATTTTGACAAATGACAAGTCAACCTATGAGAGAGTGTGGTACATGTGTGGCCAATGTAAGAATTTAATGTTGATTGTTAGTATTAGAGATACAATCTCCCAAAGGACATTATATATATATATATATATATATATATATATATATATATATATATATATATATATATATAGAGAGAGAGAGATAAAATAATATACAAATTTATATATCAGAATAATAGTGGGGAATTAAATGACAAAATGGGAAAAATCTTCTGCATAACAAATTTTATCCCCAGAAAAAAAATTTTAGGGATGTGGAAGTTTTCTCCTTTTTTGTCATTCAGTTATACACACACACACACACATTCATGTGTGCATGTTAAAAGTGGATGGCTACTTATTTATAAGTAATCTCAACTGTTATGGTGGCAAGCTGATCCTTGTTGCAGATACCTGCTTAGCTACATTGTATTTTTTCAACAGCCACAGATTCGTTTCTCTATGGCTTAACCCATTGCAGGTTATTTAAAGCCAGAAAATATTTTTAGATTGCAAGAATTTTTTTTTGAGGTAATGATTTAGTGATACAGGTTTTACTAATTAACCAATTGCTGGGTGGGGAGAAGAGGTGTATTCATACCTTTCCCAAAGGTATTTGTGCATAAATGAATATAACCCAACTGAAATTGGAACTCAGCTCTTCAATTAACAATTTCAAACCATTATTCACTGCATCACCTGAACATCAAAACTTACAGCACCTGGTATTCCCAAGCATTCACCCATCAAGGTACTGACTAGGCTTGATGTTACTTAACTCCATACAGGAACTGATGTTTCAATGCTATATGACAGTAAGCCTCAATACCCACAGAGACAAATTGGTTTATACAACAATTATCCTGAGCAGACCTTAGTTACAGTCTCTGGGAGAAAGTACATAATTTGTTATGATCTACAGTATTGAACACATCCAGTACACTCAAACCCTCAGTTACAATGACATGTGACTTTATGCTAGCATAACCATTGACAGTTCCAAACATCCTAGTTTCATTTACAAGGCTTGGGTCAACCTGAGCTTTGATTTTTAGGCACTTTCCAAATAAGCCACAGAGATCATCTCCCCTGACAAATAATATCAAGAAGTGACTATGGTGAGATTTGAACACTGGTCTCATTGTCAGAATGATAATGTTTTAGCAACTCAGCCATGCATGCACATGTACATATATGAGATCTCATCAATTTATGCACACACACACACAGAGTGTATAAAGAGAACATGCCTATTTATAATAACTCATTTTCAAATTGTACCAAATTTTATTAGCTACTAGCAGTAGAGCCCGGCATTGCCCGGGGATGTAACAGTAAGAGATAGATCACGTATCAACCATCATAAAGACTGAAAAATAAAATTGACAAAGATTATTGTTTAAGGTTGACGGACATGCATATCTTAATTAGTTTTATTTTTTATTTTTTTTTTTACGAATTGGTCAAACCCAAACTCAAACAAAAATATTGTTTTCAATCGTTATGAGTCTACCAATTGAATAGAATTTTATTATAAACAATTGTCTTGTAAATGGAATTTTTAAAGCATTCTGAATGTAAAAATAGAGAAAAAAGTGTGCAAGACAATAAGAAACACTACCTGCCAAAAAAAAAAAAGTGAAGTTTTGTTGAAATCAGTTGAAAAAATGTAGGAAATCTGATCCCATATATAAACGAACACACACACACAAAAAACCTGGGTTTTATAATTATAACTCGATATGAGTTGTCCCCCTTTCATTCTGGCGCCTTAATCGTGTTTTCAAATTGATTTTGTGCAAAAACAATTGTGTTTTTCCAATTTTTTGGTGCTGTCAGAACCACATAAAGGTAATTTTACGCAGTCCTGTGAAGTTTTGTTGAAATTGGTTGAAAAATGTAGGAAATCTGATCCAATATATAAACGTACAGACACACACAATCTGCATTTTATAATAAGTAAGATTAATCTGTCTAATATGTTAATTGGTCTATGATATGATTTTATAACAGGTCACTCTATGTGTGCTTACCATGTAAGTCAGTCATACCTACTCCATGATCTGATCATTAGGTTATATGCGAAAGATAATGGTTAAACCACAAGACTGTAGTGATTTGGAAAACATTCTTTCTGTTTAACAGTCTCCATCTTACGATCAGCTTAGAAAATATTGCAAATGGTTTAAAAATGACACACTGAAGCTGGTTGACACACATACATTACACAGGTAGAATACCTGAGACGGTGGTCAGGTATAACTTAGGGACTAGCTCGTTTAGTAAGCAGATTGTTGGAATAGTACCC